CTTCCAGCATTCGGTCTCAATCTTTTTGAAGGCAGGCTCTAATTTTTTTTTTCAGGCTGAACACTCTGAAGTTGTTACCTGAGCACATCTGGGCCAGCAGTTCAGGGAATGCACAGATGCAGATCAGCAAGAAGTGATGGCAGAACAAGGAATATTAAGACTGAGCTACATCTCACTTCAAAATGGTGTGTGTCAAACCAAGAGTTGGGAACTCAAGGAACTTGTTGCAGTGATTTACAGTTCACCTAGACAAAAAGCTCAAGGATTATTGCCAGATATACCGCTCTGAATTGACCCTGTAGGCACAGATTACTTGACCTAATAGGCTTCGTATAGGTAATTTCTGTGATTCATGATAGGTCAGTCAGAGACTATGATAGATTTTCTTACCAACAGGGCTTGTGTAGTTTTCTAGGGGAGGCTACACAAATGTTAACAGCATTTTGCAGGTAAGACATTCATAACAGCAGAAGCATGCAATATATAACCAGATGTGCATTTTACATCCCCTTATTCTTGAAGTTCATTAGTATCACAGATTCCATTTCATAACACAAGCTCAAATACAGCTGTATTCTGAATTTTAAAATCCCACTGAAGACAAGTAGATTCAATAACTTTTCTGTTTAATTAAAACAGTTCTTATTTAATAACATTACAATAAGTTACCTTTTGCAACGTGTAATATACTTCTTTTTGAGAACTCTTTTAATGGTACAGAATGATTTGTCTTGCAAAATTCATCACATATTAGTTCCAGTAATTTAATTCTGTAGTTAAGTGTTTTTGAGATCCTGCACCCGCTTCTGCTTTCCTTCATTGCTGCTTAATCCCACAAGTGCTAATATACAGTTAAGCCAGCACTGCAATAACTTCAGTTTGCTCTTTATATCTGAAATGGCTGCATTGCTTTAGGCAATAGACCACTGTATTCTATTTAGATTTCATATATTTTTATTCCTTTCTCTCCTTGTCTTGCTTTATAGTTTAATTCCCCAAATAATTAGCATGATGTAATGTGTCATACAGAATAACATCTGAAAGCTACAGACTAATTGCTACTGTTAAAACACCTTTATTTTTTGCCCTTTTCCTTCCTCTTCAGTTATTTATATACTTAAAGAAGAGTAAGCTCTGGCACTCACTACACACTGATAAGCAACATTTATCTACCCTGAGGTACCCTTGCTTATTCTGTTTTGGGTGGTTTTTTTTGATTGCATTTTTCCACTAGCACTGAACTTGTTTTCTGGCTGCATATTTTCCCGTGGTACATTAAAGATGCAAGTGCTATAATTATTATGATGCAAAACACAAGCTTATATGAAAAACATTTTGAAGAAAAAACATGCAGCAATTACATAGGAAGAATGACTTATTTAACTACTGGCTTTCCTCTCCTGGCATGAGCACTACAATGTTTTTATAGAATTTAAGGGCCGTAACGATCATTTCACTGATACAAACAATAGATAGACATTTAACACAGACCTCATCTACATTAAATGTACTTCATGATTTAACAAAATATCCACAAGACTGCAATAACAAAGGCCAAATGTACTTCCCAGCTGATGAAAAGAGTGATTTGCTTCCAAGTCTTAAATTTTCTATTCAACGAGAGGTTCTCATTTTCCCTGAAAAATTGTCCAGAAGTGTAATTTGGACCCCTGTGGGTACTGAAGGTCAACCCTCACTGGGAGGATGCACCAACAGGTACACGCACATGGCTCTTCCCAGCAGTTCTAAGTCCTCCCTGCATGCATTGCAAGCTCTTGGGTTTGGACACTGCTGTTTACCATACTTAAATACATTTGTCCCAGCCCTGGAAAAGAATATCTAGGGCAGGATTTTTCTAGACATGCCTTCTTCCACAGCCACCATGCACTGTAGCCCAAAGTCACTTCCAGGGAAGTTCCAAGTATGCCCAAATCCCTATGTAAAAAAAGGGAGGCTTTCAGTTTAGGCACATAAACAACTCTGGGCCCGACTAATTTTAACAGTCAGAAGGTATCTTCAAAGTAAAGTCCCCTCTTCTTAATTGGGAGTTCTGTTAAGACTGGAACTGATCCCAGCAACTCCTTCTCTTGAAGCACACCAATAAATCCCTGACGCCCGTGGTCAGTCAATGACATTTTCTGCTCCTTTGGACAAAGACATATTGCTGTTTCGAGTTGAGAGCCACATGGCCATCAATCATTTGCTCAGGGGTGCTACCTCCGAGCTCCGCCTTGCCACATACGATCTGCTAATAATTAAATCCCAGTCCATAACTCCCAGAGCAGCCACCAAGGTCTCCTCTGCAGAACACGCTCTTTTGCCATGCAACCAGGGAAGGAGATCATTCATGAGCAGAAGTGACACTTGTCAGATTGGTGCTGGCTTTTGATTAAGGAGCAGGACTCAGATGTCCATCTTCCACGACGCGCAGTGTTCAGTCTCATTAGGTAGGGTGTTGAGGATACTCATTACAGCAAAGGAAGCTCCTCATGCTTCCAAAAATACACCAACCTTAACTCAGTAAATCAAAGATACTAATTACAGGAGAAAACTTTTAATGCGGCAAAAATGTCAGAATATCATTAATAGTGCTTAGGACAGTTCAATTTAGGGATGCTAGTCCATTGTCCCCAACACCACTGTGAGAGGTCCTGCATAAGCACACAGCATCCTTTCCCCAGGGATTGCCCTAGCTCAAAGACAACTAAAAGAATTCAGATGCACAAACTGCCTTTTTGTACAAGATGAAAGACAACAAAAAGATAATAGAGCATATCTGCAAGAGATGGCTGTAAGTGATTGGATGCAAACAATTCCCATTTATTTTTAAGCCACTACCTCTCCAAAGCAGCAGGTTTTCAGCTAGAAAGTTTTTAGAACTCATTGTAGCAGGATAAGAAATGTGACACATTTTCCTACATTTGCACTGAGATAGCCAGATGGCCAGTTTCCACCAGCAGACCAGAGCAGACCAGGTAGGACAAGGAAGAGCAAGGTGACAAGCAGCTAGAGAGAAGAGTTGCAATTGTTTGCAGGATACCCACCTGCCCTCACCCTCAGACTGGCATGATCACTAAAACAAACATGCCAGGAAGCTGTCCAGTTGCATCAGAATCAGCAAAGTGAAGCCAATTTTGATGTTAGAGCACTGACACTTTGGCTGCAGCCAAGCTATAAAACATGACCCGAAAGTCTTAAGAGCAAACATCCAGAAGCATCCACAGGCAGATAGCACACTGCCTTTGAACTCAGCAAGCTTCCAGCTGCAGGTCTTTCCAACCTGTTGGTTGAGCATGGGCAAGCAAGGGTCTTGCCTTCTTTTTCTGCAAGATGAGATAACACCAGTGCTAACAGTCTAATGAGGTTTATGTGAAATGCCATGCAGACAAGGCTGACCTAGCTGCAGTTTGAGAAGAGGCTTGTTCAGTGCTAACCTGTATCTGCACCATGCAGATCATGCTCATTCACATCAGTGGAGTGGAAAGCTATCTGCATTTCCCAGGTGCAGCCTCTGACTTCAGTGACTCAGGTATATCTGTTAACTCCAGGCAGGTGATAAGCAGCCAAAAGTACATTTCTTGTGAATATTCAAGCAATTATGAGAAACTGGCAAAAACATTCTAAGACTGCAGAATACTGTTAACCTGTAAACACACGCTCTGAATTGACCATTTATTTGGACAACTCCTAGGATAATGCCATAGCCATTTAATGACACAGCTCCTTGACTGGTAGTGATTCCTACAGAATACAAAAGATACATAATCCTGCAGCAGCAAATCTATCCTGTTCCTCTCAGCTGGACCCAGCTGTTGTGGCAAATGAGCTGCCAGGTTCTCATTTCTTTTTTGTTGAGCATTGGTCATGCATGACAGTGCTTTAATATATACTTTATTTTAGCTCTTCAAATTCCTCTTCAGATTACTAAGTGAAACAAATGTATACAAAGGAATGATAGCCGCAGACTATTTAAGAAAAGGTATTTTATAACCATAACAGCTTTTGTGGTAATGCAGCCATAGAAGTGACTAAAATGGTCTGCCCAAACAGAAGGATCTAGCTCAGAATGGTCAATTTAGCTGCAGTGCAAGGCACACAAAATGGAGACAGTGTAACAGAGAAAATCACAAGGCCGAAGTCCTTCAGGAATCAGGGCCTCCTTTCTACAGCAAGTGGAACTGTTTTCAACTAAAGACAGAAAAGACAGCTCAGGAAATGAAAGATAACTCAAACATTGCCTCATTCTTGAAAAATATCCCAAATGTGCACTTCTCTCCCCACTACCACCATGAGGAATGTTTACTTTCAGGAACAAATTCATTAGCTACAATGGGGTTACTCATACGAGAAAGCAGTATTACACCAAAAAGGTGGTGCAGGCAAAGGAACTAACTGGTATGTACCAATCTTAGGGGATGCAAAATCAAGACAGGATGATATAATGAGGTTTGGTTTTTTTTTAATGTGTAGCTTGCTGTCACATTGTGAGACACAAATAATGTATCTTTCTCCCATAGTTGATGGCTGGAAAAGAGTTCTGATTCTACACATACACCTCACAGATATGTGCAATGTATTTCCAGCTGTTGCAAGCAAGGCACTCAACTCACACCCAACAAGGCAGTCTTTGCTTGCTCCTGTTCCACCATGCAGGTGCTTGCTGCTCCCTGCTGGTACAGCTAGGACCCTGAGAGCAAGGATCGAGCCAGGATATGTTATGGACCAGTTATGCAAAGGATGTGTGGAATCAATGGCCAGTTTTGTCCACCAGTCATCGGCAGTTCTGAACTGCCCATGCCAGATCAGTGCAGTCTTTGCACAGGTGTGACTGTCTACTTTTTCACTCCATAGCAGAAAGAAGGTTTACACGAGATAGTTTCTACCGTTAGAGTTACTGTGACACAGCAATTTCCCTGCTCAGCTGCCTTTTGCAGTAACAACATGTTGTTATATTGGCAACTGTTCAGTGCATTGGCAGCCTGTGAATTTGCAAAGCTTACCTTAACTTCCACATGTGCCATCAGGACTGCAAAGTTGGTTAGGTGATTGCAGGAGCATGTGGTGTGCGTCTTGTTAGTTGTCAGGAGGCGACATCCTTGGGTGGACCAATACCCTGTCATGGTACGCTTAGTATAGCTCCAGAATGAACAGTTTGGATTGAAATTTTCTTCTGACTGCTGCAGGGAAGCAATGAGCAAATGCAGTAAAATGATAGGGTTTCAGAGATTTCTAAACACATTACCTTTCCTTTTTTTTTTTCCCCCCCAGAGGCACTTTGTAACTCTTACTCTTTAATTTTAGATAAACAATCAACAATGACTTCGAAGTCGAGTATTACTTGTCAGCATCAGAGAAAGTTAGGTTGTTGCTGCTCTCATTGCTAATACAAACCTAGTTCTTTGTTCTTGATTAATTTCAGACATAGACTAAATTCAGCTCTTCAAAACCAGATTGCTTCATTTGCATTGCAGAGCGGAGAAATTAATTGCTTTAAGCAATCAACTTTAGCAATGACTGTGCTTGGCTAACAGGAGTGCTAGCTGTCCTTTTTCACTGTAATTCCACTTCCCTCTAATATCCCCTGCCACCATGATAAAATAATATTATGGCCCATTCTAATATATTGTTGGTTTTTAATTACAGAATGACGTATGTCAGCAACTGAGCAATGGACATCAGCTCAAAGGAGACTTTCTTTACTTTTATTAATGCAATACAAAAGAGATATTCCCCATAAACAACTCAAAGCGCAGAGGAACAAATGCGTAATTCAAAATCTAATCAAGGACTGCTGGGGGCCTCAGATCACCAAACTTCTGTGGCACTTTATAATAGAGACAGAATTAAAAAAAAAAAAAAAATTGGTTTTCAAACTTGCTCACCTTAATATGCTTGACAGTAAAGACCACGGGATCAGCTAGGTAAACCTTATTGCTGAACTCTTTGTTTATTGCTGCCGTGATGACAGGGGAGTTGACGATGACGGAGTGATTAGTAGACATCGCTTCAGTTCCTAATTTCATGCTAGCATTCTCCGTGGAGAGATAGGTGCCCAAGTTGTTGTACAGCACGAAAGCTACCCTGATTTCACCTAGGAGAGCAGCGTGAAGTTAGACATCTAGCTTAGTGCACTGGCTTTCATTTTTGATGACAAATTTCTTCTCTGAATGAACTTAAATTTTTTGGGGGGGAGAAAGCATGAATGAATCAAGATGTGGTGTATGAAAAATTCACCTTCTCCTGCCTATACCAGTGAGCATCCTGAAATACACTGACTGGTCCAAGGATGAAAAGGCAAGGGCTGCCACTGCAAAACAAACTCTTTTAAGCAAACACACTGAAGTAGATGGACAGCAAAGGTGAGCTTATTTTTGGAATCAGTAGAAAAACTGACTCCAGAGAAAAGAGGCCAGGCGACACATTTCCCACTTGACTTTACACTATTCTCCAGGCAACGCTTGGGAAACATATTTCATTCTGGCCTGCCATAGAGTTGCAGTGTAAAACTATAATTTAGTCCAACACAACCCCCATTAATAAATCAGGACTGCTTCAGAGAAGTGCGAGGTCTATTCTGGGAGAGGAAATCCAAAACTTTCCAATGCAATTCCAATCTCATATGAAGAGCAAAACAAAAACAGCACAAATTTGTCAATCATATAACCCTCTTCCCATAAATACCCACCACTAGGGAACCTGCACCACACTACCAGTCAACTTTTAGTTTTGTTTTCTTTTGTTTTGTTTTTTTTTTAGCTGAGATCATCCTGTTCGCTTCCTGTTTTAATTCACAGACTTCAAATAAGAACCAAATGTGATTAGTTTGTCTTATAAATACAAGTTGTGGGGAATATTTTTTGTTTCACTTCAGCTTCTGCAGAAGGTGAAGCACTGATGACTCCAAAGGTCCTTCCCAAGCTTAATTTTTCTACAATAATTTCTTTCATAGCTGTTTGGAAACCTCTAGGTGAATGTCAAGCTGATAAAAATTGATGGGGCTCTCTCAATTTGACCAGAACTCCACTGATATACTTAGAAATAAAGACTTTTCCTTCCTTCTGCCAACACAATTCTCTTTCTCCACAAATCTTCTCCAAAGCTCACTGGTGAAATGCCTATCCCACTGGAATTTTGCTGCTCATCTCGGGTTTTACACCAACTCTAAAAGAAACACTGTTCTTTAAACTCTGCATTTAAAAGTATCAAAACCCATCAAGGAAGCCAATGGCAAAGCTCTCTTTCTCAGCCACTGAATCAAATTTTTGTCTCAGCAATTGTCTGCAATTTTGGCAGTTTTAATGCATCTAGTTTGGCTGTAATGCTGTCCTATTACACTGTGTAGTGATCAAACTCTGCAATAGAGTGCTTTTCCCCTACATACAGCTTAATCTTGAAAAAACAGCCATTGCAAAATGCACACTCCTTCCTTGCAGAGCAGTAAAGTGACTGAATGAAGTATAAACTTTAAAGGAACTCATAAACAGGACCATGTCAGTCCCATCAGTAGAAAGCATGGCAGTTTAAAGTTGGCTTATAGCGAGGCTGGAGAGATCAACAAATGTATCTGCTCAAATTTCTGATCTGGAAATAAATAACCAGACAGCTTGAAGACTATTCACACTCAGTATCATCTTAAATTTATGGTATATTAGTAGGTTCAAAACCTTCAGAGAGGAAGGCACTAAAGATGCAAACTCTTAACAGTTAACCAAGATTTTCTGCCATGTTGACACATTATTAAGATTTGCTGCTATTGTTTCTTTCCTTTCCTTTCAGAAACCTGCACAGTGCCCAAGTGTGAAGCAGGTTACTCACACAAGGCTCTTATTCCATGGGAAGGAAGGCTTCCACGGCAAATAACATTAGTTAAAAGTACTTCTCTGGATGCAGCACTGTGCCCCAACAAACACGTCGTGTAGGGATCTGGTGTATTTCTACCACTATATGATGCTTTTGAAGGCTGTCAGTCACTTGGTAACATAATACATTCCTTGTGAACCAATGTAGCCTTCAGTCAAGGGCTTGGGCAACTAACATTAACATTAACGTAAATAATAACAGTGATTAATACTAAACTTATAACTGGTTAAAAACAAAACAATAATTGCAAGCCATTCACAAACAATGCCTGAAGCACAACTGATTTAGAAGGCCAGCATGGCCAGAGGTGCTGTACCTACCATTCCGACCATTTTGTTTCAAGGTATTTGCCGAAAGTTGAATGGCACTCCCATGGCCCGTGTTCTGGGGAAACTTCAGATCTTCCAGATTGCCATCTGTGCTTAGTCTTGCAACTTCCAGCTCTGTTTGCAAGAGAGACCAACAGAAAGAAAAGTCACTACTGAAAATAATTACCTACACAATACTTGAAATTTAAAAAATGGTGTTCCAGACCATCTGAAAGTAGAGGAATCAAGTTACAAGGTTTCACACTAGACTCTTTCTTTCTAAATCTTTGCCCTGAAGAAGTTTCAGATTTAATTAAAAAATAAAATAAATCCAGTTGTCTGTGGAAGACAAAAGACAACTAGTTCTTGTAAAGAAGAACCTCAGGATATTAAGGACAATGGTTAAAATGAAAATCTGAAAATGCTAGTTCTTTGCCACTGGCAATTGGTACTTTCTGTAAATGTTATCAGTTCTTGGGATCTGTGTTCAAAGAAAAAGAAAGAAGAGTTGTTCTCATTTTACATATGCACAGTGGGAGTTCTGGTGCTTTCCATCATGCTTGTTTTTTAATTAAAATCAACAATCAGCCAAATAAAGACACAAATTTGTATGAAATGAAACACAATTGCATTTTGATGAACCATCTCCCTGTGAAACAATACTCTCAGTGTGCTAGCACAGATTTTGCACTTGAAGCCAGGAGTAATAAAGGCAGTTTAAGTTCTCTTTTCCCATGGGATTTCAAGGACAGGGAGCTATCTTATTCCCTTAGGCTCTTTTGGAAAGACTTCTAAGTTTTTCACACCAATGGCCAAGACACATCCAACACTGCTCTCCAGTTAATGTAGAGCCAAGACTGAAGTCAGGTTTCACAACCCTTACTCTCCCTCTGGTGCTCCCAGTATCTATGGGCTCATTCTCTTACGGATATTGTCGGTGTTTTCACGGACAATGTCAGTCTTCAGCAGGTTATCAGCCAGCACAAAGGCACTGTCCTCCACAGTGTCAAGCAATTTGGTGGCTGCACGTTGCTGTTCACTTGCATTCAGGTCCCTCCAGGCATTCAGAGCCTGCGGCTGCAGGAGGTTGTTCACCGTTTCCACCATGGCCTGCAAAGGAGAGGAACTGAGTAAGAAAGGGCTTGAGCAAACCTAGTGCACCTCTGAAACCTCTGACATACGCCCAGTTTTCTTCTCAACACACATAGGGACAGGACAGCATGTCATTCCCCACCCACTGGTGCAGCCTACAATGAAGCTAGTCATCATTTACTGCATTAGATGAGAGTGGGAGGAAATCTTGATTTTACTTGATTTTCAGCTTCCATGACCATCAGCTCAGATTAAGAAGGAATTAAGAGTCAGGGACGGTGGAAGGGGGATGTGGAAATCCCTAAAGAAACATGCAGGAAAATATACTTCAAAAACTATCTGTGAAGTAAGTTGCTGCTATCTGTGCAATAAGATTCAGAAGCCAGGCTGGGACACTCACGGAAGTTCTCTAGCATCCATCTGCAATGGCTACGCTCTTTCCAGAGCGTTTCCCACCACATAATCTCTAACAGGCACTGAGACACAGAAACAGTTAAGTTACATCCCTTCATTCAGAGAACAAGCAGGTGCCCATAGAGATGTAGATAAGACGCTCCATTTCAAATATCTCAATTTGGGAAAGAGTCAGCCATCCGGCAGGCCTGCCCCACAAAGAAACATTTCCAATGCCAGCTATCACTGACTGCATAAACCAACCTTCCCTTTAAGATGAAGCTGCCACTCTTAATTTTCTGCATGCTGAAAGCATCAGGCATCAAACATAGGCATCAAACCCAAAGTACTGTTTTTCAAGACAGACAGTCCTGTGGGCTTTCTACATGCTGCAAGCCTAAAGGATACTCCGCGGGTCACTTTCATGGAAACACTTCAGTTTTTACTCCTTACTGTCTCTAAACCCACCCTCAAGATGATGTATGAATAGAGAGAGGATGCAGCATGGCTTGCTCTCTAGCAGAACCCTAAGGAAGAGAGTAACAATGGCATCACAAGGCACTGTGAATTTGGGCATCCTGACTCCCCTTCACCAGTCATGGTCAGATACAAATGTGCAGAGGAAGAATAAAATCACACTGAACCAGAATAAAATTTTATTGTTGTATGCAGGTGACCTTCAGGAAGATTCAGCTACCGCAATGTTCACAGAAAAGTGAAGGCAGCTGAGTCTGCCACTCCTGGTGCTTTTGATTCCAGAAAAGACAATTAACGGAGACAATGTCATGAGCATCTTCATCCTAAACATCCTTCAGGTTTAAAAGTTTCTCATACCACTGCAGCTCCTATTGGAAGACTGAGCCAGAATTGGGCTGCTCTGACACTAAAAAGCCCATACTTTCCAATTTAATTCATGACAAAATAATTCATTTGTTCTTATGCCAAATCCCTCCTTTACCTTAAGTAGATCTGCCTTGCTTAAGAGGCATTTTTCCTGAGCCTCATAGCTTGGTTTCCAAAGGGTAGAGCAGCCAATGCTTCCACCACTGAAGCAAACTGAAATGGCTGAAAATCTCTTCCTCTATCGCTACTGCAAAAAAATTTTTGCTGTGAAGCCTTTACAGTGCAAGACTGGGATCCCTTCCCCATTTGCTATTAAGTACAACTTATTAGCCATAAATCAATTTCTTAAATTGACTATTAAACACATATTCTTGAATAGTCTAAAAATCATCTTAACAAATGCGGTATGTATACAGGAAAAGATGGTTAACTTTAATTTAAAGAAATACTAAAAATCCATTGCAATTCAGCATGCTTTTCTGGTGTTTTAAAATCTTGAAGCCTGATTGCTGCAGCTCTTCATAAAATTCTGTGGTTTACTAAAGTAGCTTATCTCTTTGCAGACAGAAAGAAGGTGTTACTCTTTCACAGTGAGCAAAAACCTTGGCTATTTTGCTGCACAGGTTCTACACAACATGGTCTTTTCTTGCAAAGATCTTATATTCCTGGAAAGCAGAATATTAGGATTTTTCTCCCCTTTCAATGTTACCATGCAGGCTACAATTTACCTTACATCCATTCAGCTCAGCTACTAATGTTGTTTTTAAATCTCTACTAAAACAACATGCTAGATACTTTTATCAATATCTGAATGGTGGGAATAGTCATTGCAGCAGATCTAGCTTCTGGCTCTGGATGGAAAGGTTATGTCTATTTGTCTAAACATGAAACAGATGCCAAGATATTTCTGTTATAGTGAAACACATGCTGCAAAGATTTTTCCTCAGAAAAGTAATATATATATAATTTTTTTTTTAACAAATTATGTGTGCATACAAAGCCTGACAGAGAACCTCACGCAGGCCTTATGTGCCACCTTCTCACTTACGTGCACAGTGTTTTGTGCTCTCCATCCAAGTAGCATCTTCAAGTGACAAGCCTGAAAGTAGCCACTTCATGTCACCCTGGATCCAGGGCCTGACTCTAAACCTCCAGAAGGATTTCCAAGGACTTCAGTTCAGGTCCCTAACACATATCTGAGCAAGTTGGTAGACTGTCATCATTGGCAATACATCCAAGATGAATTTAGTCCATTGCTTTTCCCAGAGGGTCAATCCCCTCACCTGCCTCAGTGCATTAATCAAGTGTTCCCCACATTATATTTCTGAGTGCAGCACTTCATTATGGCTGAGTGCTGTGGGCTGAAGCCAAGGAGATGAGGTGCTAATGAAATGTTTGCATTTTGGACAGGAGCTGAGGTAGGTGTTTAAATGAAACAAAACAGCTGTTAAAGCAACAGTGTCTCTTGAGAAACAGATGCCAACTGGGAAAAGTTGAATAGGAGAAAGGGAACTGTGGGAAAACAGGCACATGGGACACAGACTGGCCTGCGTCTTTGCATTTTGCTGAGATTTAGGTTGATTTGCCACCAGATTCAACGACTTTGTGAACTGATGAAGCTCTAGCAAAGAAGCAACAGTGCCAGTCTCCCAGTAAAGCCTCTCAGACACAAGCAGGATTAGCCCTGACAAAGGACCTTTGAAATAAGGAAGGCATGAGATAGGTGCTCCTGGGAGCGGATGACTTGATGAGTGTTACCTGAGATCCTTGGTGACCTTGATGAAGGTGGGGATTTTCAAAGGGAGCTAAGGAAGTTCTGATCTAGTTCTGCACATCTACTTCACTGAAGACCTTGCCTCTTTCCCATTCTAAAGCTTTTCTGCTGCTCTAGTTTTCTTCTCTTCCAAACACAGCTCAACAGGGTGAGCAACTTTCGAGGGAACCATGGCATACTTGTGAGCTTCAGGCAAAACAAAAGTATGGGCTACAGTATATGTCAATTTCCCCTACAGGGAAAAAAAACCACAAAACCCAATGCCAAGGTTGCTGGGGTTTAAAGAATGAAGAGCACAAGTATGCACACGCCCAGGGAGAAGTATAAAAGCAACAGAAATTACACTGAGGGAGACCTTGAGAAGTGTGAACAAATGAAGGAAGAAGAGCACTGCAGAATGGAGACAGGAAAGAAGACTTTCCATCTGTCTTTTTATCCTGGGATGTGTAGATGTGGCTCTATGCTAAGATTTCAGGCTACCTATATATTAAATACTAAACTCCCTAAACACAAACTTGTGAAGAACAAGCATGAAAGGTCAGATGAAAGGTCGAATGTGTCTAATACACTATCTCCAACGTGATTGCAATTGGACAAATCAAGTATAGAAGACAAAATCCATGGTGGAGAACTCTTTTATTATTAGTTATATAGCACCAAAGAGTGTAATTTCAACATAAATAAATGTTATAAACAGCAGAGGGAATTTTTTTCCCCCCACTTATGGCTCATGATTTTTCAATTTTGTCCTGAGGTGACAAAACAGAAACAAAATGTAAAACTTCCTTCTCAAACACTTATAAAACAGCATTAAAAGAAGTATTGTCGAAAGGTAAATAAGAGTCTTCAGTAACTAGGCATTCCTAAAGGGGATCACATATATCCTACTCATTTCCTTTGTGACAGCTGCTTCATCCTCTAAAACTAAAGTTTGCTTTTCCACCTATTTTTATGTCCTGCCCCTCTAGAAATACTTGGCCAAAATACATGACTATGTGACACACCATTTAAACCTAGGAGGGAGGATATACTCAGTGATACCACACCCATTGGCTTATCTCTCATCATATCAAACCCCAAAGCATTACCCTTTGACAAAAATAGATTCAGTAATGTAAAATCTGTCTTTACATGGGAATTGAACCTGGAAATCACCTAAAGATGTTAGTCCTACTAATCTCGTTGTCAAATTTAGGACTGGAGCTCATTGTGCCATGTTGTTTAAGCACAGCAACCCTAACCTTAGAAGAACAGCAGCCCTCTTCCAGTCAAGTCCTAAGGGTGCTCTGTTCTAAATCTTTATAGTTCACTTTGTCCTCTTGCTGAGCAGCCAACAGAGGAAAAAAAAAAAAAAAACAAGACACCAATGAACTGGTTGTTAGAGCATGTTTTCAAGGGTATGTGAGAAAATACCTCTTTATGCCAAATGAATACCAGCAGGCCCCTCAGGGAATACTGGTTGAGTCCCTCTGCAGAGTAATTTTCAAATTCACAGTTCATCCTTCTTTGCAACACAGCACCTCCTTAAGAACAGACTGAAAATGAACTATAAATTATTTTGCATGTAACTTATATCAAGGCCTCAGCTCCTATAGCAGCTCTGGCATTAAAGCACCACTTTTGCAAAGACATCTCTAATTAAAAGAAATGCATTTTATAACTTTTAAAGCCCAATCTCACACTGCTAACACTTGTCTTCCTTGACCCGAAGGGAATGTTTGATGCAATGCACTTCCAAAAATTAGTACAGAAGGAGCTACGTCAACAAAGCTGTGCTTTGCACTGGTATACTAAAGTCAGAACTGATGTGTGAAACAAACACTGCTTGTAAAATTACCCCTGTGCAAAAGCTGCTTGTTGGCATAGTTTGCTGAGAAAAGCCTTCTCATGCTTTCTTAGAACAGTGGTGCTAAGGCCACAGAGAGCAACCACAAAGTTACAGCCTTAGACTGCGGTGCTTTGTCTGAAGTTCTGGTCCTGTCTGATGCCTCTGGGTGCTACTCCAAAA